GCCGCCAAGCCTGGTCACCTGAGTTCAATTCTTGGAACCCACAGGGTAGAAGGAGAGAACCAACTCCTCTAAGTTGTTCTCTGACCTCCACAAGTGTGTTGTGGCATGTGGCACATGCATGTGCTCTCTCCCTCTCTCTCTCTCTCTCTCTCTCTCTCTCTTTCTCACACACACACACACACCCACACACACACACACACACACACATGCACACACTTATTTTTTTTAAAAAAAAAAGGAAGGCAGGGCTGGGGATGTCAATTGCTGGTTTTCACAAAGCCCTGGGTTCCATTTCCAATATCAAAAATAAAATAAAATATTCTATGTAGACAGGCATATAGTAGTATGGGCCTATAATCCCACCTATACAGGAGGAAGAGACAGAAAGACCTCAAGTTCAAGTTCAAGTCCTATCTGGGATACAGAGTAGGTTCAAGGCCAGCCTTTCTGTAAAAAATACAAAGAGGACTGAGGCTATAATTCAATAGAAGAACACTTGTTCAATCCCCATAGCACACAACATTAATTAAAATAAAATGTTCAGTGTGTTCACGTTTGGACCCTGGGTATGAAGTTGGTGAGGCTGGTAGAGTAAGCAATCATGTCAAAGCAAAGCAAAGATGCTTTTGCTTTCCACCTTTTAATAGACGAACCTGAGAGGTGCAGAAGCTTAGATGCTGCCAGGCACAGCTTTGCAGCCTGCTGAAGATGCTACTCGTGTCCTAGGAGGGAGCCTGGGTGTCTCAGCATCAGGGTAATGTGAATGTCTCCAGGCAGACCATGATGCCCAGACACTGTGACTACAGGGTTCCTATAGGGAAGCCCAGTGGATGCTTGTTAAACTAACCAGGCTCCAGGACTGTCAGCCATGCCATTCTTAAGGGATTTCATTTTGAGTCCCAGAAGGGCTCACCGGGTTCTCGAGAGCTTAGACCAAGCCAGAATCTCTAATTTGCACAGAATTAGCTGTGAAAGCTAAAGTCTGTGAGAAAGGGGTCTTGTTTGATGAACTCGCCCAGAGTGAGCAGTCTTGTGTGTGCAGTCATTACTGACAAGGTTTTCAGAGGTGGAATGATTAAAACTATGGATTTGCTGCTGTTCCTAATTCTGTCACCTTAGCAAACTACTTAAACTCCCTCTGATTATGGAGGGATTTCCCACCGTGAAATTTTGGCAGTACAAGTGTCTTCCTTTTGTATTGTTAGGAGGACCAAATGAGTTGGTACATCTGAACGTACAGAAAACATACTAAGTGGCTATTTTTCATAAAATGTCACAGCCAAAATGGACCCAGCACTCAAACCTATTACAGAGAGGTTGCTGAGGACTACAATAAAGATGTGATTTGCTAAACCATCATTTTTAAAAGTGGCAGAAGACTGGCAAGATGGCTCAATGGGTAAAAGCGCTTGCTGCGCTAACCTGGCGACTGAGTCCAATCCCTAGAACCGACATAAGTGTGGAAGGAGAGAACAAATTCCACAAAGTTCTCTGACCTCTACTTATGTGATGTGGCACACCCTACCCCATCATACACACACACACACACACACACACACACACACACACAAATAAATAAATAAATAAATAAATAAATAAATAATAAATATGTCACAAGTGATAAACAAAAGATAACCATTGAGAGCAGGGCATGACTTTGAATATATATTTTAATCCACTCCCACAAATCCTCAGTACACAAAGTATGGCCAAGAGGCCAACAACCTTGGCACCACCCAGGAACTTGTTCGAAATCCAAGTCCCTGGGCCTCATCCAGACCTGCTGAATGAGAACCTGTTATTTTATACCAAATCTTCAGGTATACTGAGTCCGCATGGAAGTTTGAGAAACGTTGACTTTAGATAGAGAAAGCTTGGGGTATAGCTGTTAGAAACCAGGGACGGGGGAGGAACACATGTGAAGGAGACTGTTTGTGAGAACCAAATTCTTCCTGGATCTGAGAGGAAAAGTTCCTGGTTGTAATTAGGGTTCCAGCATTTGTGAAATCCATAAACACCAGCTGAGAGTGGTGCTGTTCCTCCCTCTCCTGTAGCTTCTTATCCTAAGATAATGAAGCCTTGCAGTGCTGAGGCCCGCTGTCCTGCTTCCAGATTACTCCCAGGACACTGAGGACCAGAGAAGAGCTTAGTGAGCAAGGCCAAGGGAGATCTCACCCTGGAGATCACCCTCCAGGAGGAGGAAGCAAGCAACACTCAAAGCAGTGCTGAGGCCCGCTGTCCTGCTTCCAGATTACTCTCAGACACTGAGGACCAGAGAAGAGCTTAGTGAGCAAGGCCAAGGTAGATCTCACCCTGGAGATCACCCTCCAGGAGGAGGAAGCAAGCAACACTCAAGTAACAAGAAATTATCACCAGAGAAAAGTCTGTGAGGAAAGCACTTCAGGACGATACCACAGAGGCTCTGGGACAGCACTCTGCAGAGGGGACTGAGTTGTGTCCAGACCTACTGCCCAGTGTTTGCACTGGGACTCCACCAAAAGTACAGGTATCTTGGGGTGAGCAGGATGGTGGCGGACAGGACTTGAGTGTCTTTATTATGTGAAAGATGGCCCCTCCAATTCCTGAACACCCCTTAACATGAACCTCCAGTGGGGCACTCCCTGGGAGGTCATGACAGCCCACAGGTGCAGCTCCTGCATACTGCCTGCTAGGTCTTAGGGGTTCTCTATCCATTGATTTATAGTCTCCAACTCCCTTTCTGGTTTCAGCAAGGAACCATTATTTGAGATTTTTACAGAGGAGGGTTTGAGGCGGCCCGGCTCTGAAAACCCAGAGGAGCCATATAGTTTATTCACCTCATGGGAGCAGCAAAACCCGTTGGCCGCCTGAATAAACACCAGGCTGGAGGTAGCATCACCGTAACAGCCTGTTGGGCTGAGCCAGCTGGTGTCCCCAGGGCAACAGCAGCTGCTGCCCCTCCACTCAGCACCTCCTATGCAAGGCTGCTGGCCTTCCCTGGGCGCTATCATCCTCACACCAAGGGCTTGTTGTGGAGTACTTCTTGGAGGTGCAGGCTCTACTCAGGGTGCTCGGGATCCTGCCTGGGCAAACGGGTGAACCCCATGACCTCATGCCTCAAGCTCTTCCCCTCTGGGACAGTTATGACTATGACATTTATGGTGTGTGCAACTTGGCTCGTGGGCCATGCTTGCAATGTGCTGAAGGCGGTAGGAAGGGTGCCTATCTGGCAGCAGCCAGCATATCACATGGTCCCTGCCAAAGGATCCTGGCACCATGAAGAGGAGGGTGGAGGAGGAGAGAGGAAGAGCAAGCATCTAGAGGGCTGGAACATAAGGCTGGACACAATTAAAGATTTGGAAGCTTGGTCATGAGTTTCTAGACCAGGCAGAGCCAGGAAAACTGGGAGGTTTTCAAAGAACAAGTGCCACGTGCTAGAGGGACATGCTGTTGGGTATGGGAGGGTGTCAGATGGAGATAGGTGTTGGTGCTGACTGCAGACAAAGGTATAGATGAGAGAGAGAGAGAGAGAGAGAGAGAGAGAGAGAGAGAGAGATAGAGAGAGAGAGAGAGAGAGACACTAGGAATTGGACAAGGTCCCTGGACAATGCAGAACCATCATGTAAGTAGAGTTGGGGTACAGCTGACAGCACACTGCTCAACATATACCACAGTGAGTTGTGAAGCTGATACAC